TACGCTTGCTACAGTTCCTCATATTGCTTATCCAATTGTAAACTTTCATAAAGCAACCTACTATTTCAGTATCTGGAGCCCTTCTGCGCACGATGGGGTCCCGATCTGCATCTGGGCTCCAATGCTGGTACAGATGCTGGCAGCTCGGGCTCCACGGGACACCGCTTGCAGCTCCAGAATCCAGATGCTTGCGGCTGGCAGTTATCATTCCGTCGATGTTCAGGTCTGGCACAAGTGGAATTCGCGCATCTGGGCTGCGGGCCATAGTCTGGTACCATCATTGCCTCAGCCCGAATTCCAAATCTAATTGGCCAGCTAGCAAGGCCCATCCCCCAGTTCATCCCACGCCCCGTGCCGTCATATCTACCCACGCATGTACGACATTTCACAACCCGCCTGCCAAACCAAAATTTCCAAAACTAAAATACACAAAGCATCTCCTAATATCCAACCACCAATCCAGAACACAATCCAGAACACAAAACACCTCCCACAACCGAAACCAAGATCCAAAACAGAACCGCAAAACCGATCGGAGGCCACCCTAGTGGGAAATCCCTCGAAGGCTATAATCTCCATTTGGAAATGGCCCCCGCATGGGATTTTACTAGAATGAATTAGTGAAATGCTGGTTGCCTGCAAATATGTATCAAGTGATTGCAAAGTGTTGCCACTCCTTTTGGTTCTTTGCTGTCCGCTTGTTTTGTCACTTCTTCTTGCGCATTGGTGTCTGGTGTCCTCGCATCCAGAAGTTCGACAAGCATCTTTCCATTTCTTACATAAACCACAATTCTGCAACTTCCTATGCACACCGGTTAAGGCTCAAGCCTTTAACTTCTGGTATTTCCGGTTTCCGTTTTGTCCAGAAGCTTCCGCCATTAGTTGATGTACGACGGCCTCTTAAAGCTTCAATCCCAAAGCTGAGGCCCTAAGCACGGAAACCCAAACCTCGGGCTCCGCACCATGGGTCGGAAGAGTGCTGCCAGGTTGTCCGGCAGCTCGGAGCGCCCGGCCTCGGAAGAAACAAGACACCCGAAATATACATCGTGTGAACATAGGTGTGGAGATGCAGACTTTTATGTCGGATGGACTTGGAGGGCCTTCCACTTTTGGCTTGGAGGTTAAAGTTGAGTTTAAAGTTCAGAAGGTTTGTTAGAACGGCTGCACCAGCAAAGATCTTCGGTTGTGGCCTAATGGTTCTCAGCATCTGAACCCCAGCGTCCATGAGGCTTGACGATGCAGGGCTGAGTGTGGATTCCTTTTGAACTTTGCTGGGCCCGACAACTCATAGAGTTGAAGCTCCACTTCACCGAAGGCCTCCTGATCTGCTGAAGCCTGAATCCCAACTTCGACCGCAACTTCAACCCAGAAGCACGACGCAGCGCTCAAAGCTTGAAAGCCTGCGAAACTACGGCATGCACTTGTTCATCAAGGCTAGGGCATATCCAGGATTCATGGTGATGAAGACATTGAACCTGAAGTGAACATGACTGCATCAAGCATACTGGCCTTGATGATCGTTACCGTTGCGGGCATCATATTCGAGAGGTGAAGTTCGGGGATGCAGCGATCAGAATTGGAGAAGGAGCCGAAGCTGCAGAATGCACGGAAAACGGCATCCGTTCGAGTGTGTCTGCAGGAGCCAGCCACGAGTAGATTCAGAGAAGTCTGTCGAGGCTCGAGCTGCGAGCCGTTGCATACTGGACCATCACCGACAGGTGAATTAAGTCTCGACAAGGAGCGTAGGCTTCATAGTGATCAAAGTGCCATCGAACCTCGGCATGCCATATCATGCCATCAGGACGACCAAGGCAAAGATGGACCAATCAGAGCATCTGCATGCCCACACGATATTGGAATCGGGATGGCGCCTGGCCACAAATCCGAACAAGCATCCACAACGCCGAAGTTGCCAAGTCTTTGGGGCGTCGAGTCTCGAGGTCTACTTGGGAAGGCAATTTCTCTGCAACCGGTCCGTAGATAGATGGTCTTGCACTTGTCCTACCCCGACTCCTCCTCTCCTCCTCCTCCTGCTGCTACTACTACTACTACTCTACTACTCTACTACTCTACTACTCTACTACTCTACTACTCTACTACTACTACTACTCCTCCTCCTCCTCCTGCTGCTGCTGCTGCTACTACTACTACTACTGCTACTCCTGCTGCTGCTGCTGCTACTACTACTATCTACTATCTACTATCTACTACTATCTACTATCTACTACTATCTACTATCTACTATCTACTATCTACTATCATCTACTACTACTGCTACTACTACTACTACTACGACGACGACTACTACTACTACTTCTTCTTCTTCTTGCTACTACTTCTGTACTACTGTGCACTACGTCTGATGCTGCCTGCACTGCTAATGCACCCACACTACCACATGCACTGCCGTCATCATCCATGCCGCCTGTACAGTACAACTGATGCTCCCCCTCGTCGTTCGTTCTCCTTGCGATGCTCCCCTTCCCGCCTCCTGGTCATCATCCTGGTCCTGCTAAACCTCTCTCTCTACTACTAAACTACACTGCTGCAATAAGAGCCTGTCTATGTTTAGACTCCCTCGCATCTGTGCAGTGCCCTGGGCCACCAGCTCCAGCTCCGTCGTGTCATTGTAGGATTCAATGGCCTGCTTCGCCGAAAAGAGCTGGAGCCTGCACATGAGAGACCATTCTTAGATCGTCCCAACATGAGTTTTGAATATGGCCAATGTTCGAGAAGCATTGATTTGGTGCCTCTGGGCTTTTTGTCATTTACAAGCCAGCTCGACCTGGGGCCTGCGGATCGACTTTGGGAAGAGTCCGGGAAGAGTGCAGGGGTTGGCATGTTCGGGAGTTTGCGAGCCCTGGACCAACAAATAATGCCGTGCTTTCGATCTTGCAGGATGCCTGTCAGGAACTAGCTTTCAAGTCTTCCCGTGCTCAGGCGCCTAATCAAACTTGAAACGGAATGAAGCAGTCGCAGCGTGCAGGGTATTAGGATGGCGGAAGCCGTGATTCCAGAAGAAAATTTGAAGGCGCCGGTCTGGCAATCGGCAACTTTGCTATGTTCTCTGCACAAAGCTGAGGCCCTGGCAGCTGTTGGGCGATGACGCTCAGCACTTCAATGTAAATACGATTGAACCTGGCAATGACAGGACTGCTAGCCTCACATGTCACAGTGCCGAGAATCCGACCCCAGCTTGGCGCACGACTCGCCGAAACTGTAACAACGCAATTTACCTCGGGCTGAAAAACTGGCCCCTACCCCGGAGCCGATATGCCTCACTTTCCTGAGCAATCATGCGGCTACCCCGAGAACACAAAATCCCAGACTCCAAAGCGCTCCCGAAGCACACAAACACACACACACACACAGACACAAGCACATGCACACGCACACACACACACACAAAACAAACACGCACGTGTGTGTGTGTGTGATTCTCCCCTTGACTTGGTTGCTCTCTTTGTCTTTGTCGACGAAGATGCGTAGCTATAGAGACATTCCCGATCATTGTCTTGAAAAGCTCTGCATCAGCTCCTGTCCCCCCGTGCATAAATATTGCGTAGTACGCTCCTATCAGGGTTCCCCACACACACACACGAATGCAACGGCTTGAGATTCTCTTCAAACTGGCTGGCGCAGCTCGTCGAAGCAGCACCAAGCGCCCGAAGACGCAAGGCCTAGCTGGAGCATGCGACGCAAGGGAGTGGGTCGGAGTGGTGGGCGGGAGGCTGGGAACAGCGAAAACAAGGATGTGCTCTGAACACGAAGGCATATTGCAGGGCCCAGACGGCTACACAAAACTTGAGCAGGGAGATCGCAGATGTACCCCAGGCAAAACGGTGACATCATAGTGTATACATGCAAGTCATGCAAGAACATGTCTTTTTGATAGGTGCCTTTGAAGAACTTGCCGACCATCAGGTAGTCCTGGACAGGATACACTGGTGCCAACAGACTCAGGCCGCCAGTACTCAACATGAAGCTCATCACGGGACTCCAGGAAAATTGTTCAAGGGCGAAAGGTTTGCCTGCAAACTAGTGGAGTCAACCTGAGTTTCGAGGCACGGAACATCCAACTCTGGCACGAAGAACAGTCCATCTCGGGCGAGCAGTTGAAGACGACACACCTCAACTCTCAAGGTTTCTGCGGAGCAGGCCGAAGTTGGCTGCATTTCCAGGAAGCTTAAGTTCATCTCTTCCGCTCTGGCCATGCTTTACTCCACCCTGCAGGACCGGAACTGGGTAGGCCACCTTCCTCGCCTAGACCCACTCACATGCTCTAGAGCATGCACCGACGCTTCTACGAGCGGCCCAGGCACTGCTTGGCCAATGCTTTGGCGAGATCCTTCGTCGTCTCTGTTTTCCCGGTGCCTGCAGGAGACGAACCAGATGGCCGAAGCTCACGTCGCAGCGGCATGCTATCTTGCACATGCTCGGGGTGTGCGCTGAACAGTCGTGCAGTCGTGCAATCATTTGGCGTGGTGACGATGGCAACTGGTTGGTTTATTGCGGCTTGCTAGTGGCAAGTATTGCCCATTCTGACTTCTATTGCTGCTTTGTCCTTGCTCTTGCTGGCTTCATCATGAAACGAGCTAACCTAGAATTCTGAAGTTTGGCCATTGTCAAGATGGTCTCTGCCGTCATTCCACCTTTGAGAGACTGGACATGCTACCAAAAAATGCTGAACTTGCTGACGGTATCATCGCACTTCGTTTGCAGTTCGTGTCACTAGTCAGCAGTGATTCAACTGTTCTGTGCACAAGTGCTGCGGATCTGATTGCCATTCTCACACGTATTCCGATACTTCATATAGTTCCTAATTCATAATGCTAACAGTGTTGGCGCTCTGCCCCTCATGACAGAAAATGTTGTAGCTTCTTCATTGTAGCAAGATTGGCAGTCACCCCTATCGTTACTACGTCGAATACGTCCATGACGAATTAAAAGTCGTTGCTGATATAGCTCCTGTCGCTAACACGCACTCACTACTGTCATGGCTACTTTTGCTTAGACGTCCCCGTGCTGATGCAGCATGTCAGTATATTGCTGTAGCTGCGACATGTGCCTGTGTTCATGCCTCCATTTATGGCTACAATTTTGGCATATTTGTGACATTTGAGCACACCTGCCCACGTGCGCAGGGCTTTCCGAAGGGTGCCTGCGGGACCAGCTGGCGCCCCACCCAGGTTCAGGCTCTGCGCTCCCATCAGAGTCATGTAGCACCTATAGCTAGAACAAAAGGGTGCAACGTGGAGATCATGGTGAGGCTCTTTTGACAGGCCGGTTGTAGTTAAGTATACTTGCAGCACACTGTGACAGGGCAAGGCTTACCCTTTTGGCTGAGGCCCAGGCTTTCGTATCTCAAGATCCATGCGAAGCTCAGCCCCGAGCATGTCCGTGAGTGGTGTGATCACCAGGCGGAAGGAGTTTCCCAGGTACTCGTAACCTTGCTCGCCACGAACATCTCAACAACTCCAGTACCCAGCCCCCAGATACAAAGCCGAGAGTCATCTTGGGGTCGGTCCATACAAACAACATTGCATCCCCTCTCGCCCGCTACAGCAATGGCAAGGGACACTTGAAAGACTCTGCGACTGTCTGATTCATGTTTCGGCCGTCAGCTGCCTGACAGTATGTAAGAAACACAAAGCGCTCCAGATCTCCGCACTTAAACCCGAGTGATGGTGAGTTTCTGCGGCAACATTAACATCACCATTTGTCAAGGTCTCGGCCGTAAGGGAAGGGAGTCTGAACCATGCGCACCCACAGGTTCTCGGAGTTCCGATCATCCATCTGCCAGGAGCGGCAGTCTGTCGGAAAAGGTTCATAACTACGACGGGATAGGATAGTAGCTCGGATATGCGAGGCTTCAAGGTGCAGTTTTACTGGTCCCGCGCAGGTACCTTTGCGTTGGTGTTCTACTCCACCTAGCTATATAGTGGCTCTTCACAATCAGCGTCATGCTTTGCCCGACACCTCCCAGTAGTAGCGCAGCTGTGAGATCCACTCGAAGGAGAAGACGTCCGTCTGACGGGATGGCACTTCAGATTTTCTGCATCGCGCCACTATTAAGGTTAGAGGTTGAAACTCTCTGGCTGCTTTAAATACTCAGAATGCGCTAGCAATCACTTCCAGTACTGGCAAAAGCTTGCAGGCGACCAAACATCTCCGAGGCCGAAAAACAGGAACAGGACAAAGTGAGCAAAGAACACATGTCGAAGACTAAAGACAATTAACTCCTCAGTTCCCGACAATGTTGTCTTTGGCCATCTTTTCCACGGTGTCCTGGCTGATCAAGCTTGCATTCAATGTCAAAGTACTCAAGCACAGACCACAAGATTTGCTTCGACAGTGCCTTCTGCACAAAAGCGGGCGATCGCCCATAAGTTCCTAACTGCTGACCCTCAAAACCCAGTTCTTACACCCTTGGGGAGGGTCGTCGAAGTGTCGACGGCTTTCGTGATTTTTTAGGCTTAGGTGTTGAAGGGTTCATGGGCTTTCTGCTTAGGGTTTTGGGGCTCAGGGTTTACAAAGGCGGTTGCAGATTGCAGTCAGGCCTTGGCATGCACGTCGATGACGATGAGTGCACCAATGCTCATGCGCCTCCCCGCAACATCCCAGTTGCGAGAAAGGATCTGGTGCGCGGCACTGCTGCAGACAAGCAAGATCCACGAGACACCAACACCGTAAATCAGTCCAACCCTCAAAGCACGAAGTTGGGCAGCTGAGGGCTAGACTGGAGCTTTGATATGTCGCCGCGAACCAAGCGGACGAGGCCCATGAGCCTGGGAAAGCAATGTGGAACACGTGGTTGCGTTTTTCCGAGCACAGTGAAGTACCAATGGGAAGCGCACAGCAGCAGGAGCAAGCAGTATATAATAAGTAGCAGTGGCAATGGAAGTGGTCGCGGTAGCGGTAGCAGTTTTCCTCACACTCAATATACCTGCATTGCGTCAATTGCGGCACCATGTTTTGGGGAGCATGCATTTCATGGTCGCGGTCTGTCTTGCTGAGTTGAGTTGGAGCAGCAAACACCAGCGCGGTTGACAGCGACGTGGCCGAGTAGCTCATTAACTTCGATGCCAGTATGGCGGTAGCCATACGCAAGTTACAGTATCTGTAAGTTATCTTCGAAAGGATTCACACAATATGAACATGGCAAAGGTGGTTCCTCTTGTCAAGAACAACAGCAACCAACAGGGTAGAGGTAGGAAGGGTCCTCAGGGGTGAACTAAGCATATTGACATGGATCCTCGTAGGATCCATGGTCCCCCAAAAAGCTCTGAGTGACTGACTGGTCCGACAGCTTCTCGAAGTACCCGGACAAGGCCTCGGGTGCTTCGAAGCTCTGGGTAGGTTCAAGCCCCCTTTCAATAGTCGAGCCTTCTGGGATCTTCTGGGTTTACGGATTTAGAGTTTCAGGTTTTGGGAATGGTAGGGTAATCATTCGTTCAGACTTGAAGCCTCCCACGGCGTCCAGCCACGAGAATAAAGAATCTGATGTAATTACTAAGGCGCTGTGTGCCTACACTTGTGATGGAAGCTATAGCCAGGCGCGTCCTGAATCTGCAAGCACCCGGGCCCTCAAAGTCTGACGAAACTGCTCCGTTTGTTCTTCACAGCCATGTCCTAAGACTGCGACCTGGGACAAGGAACCAGAACATACCACAACCAGGTCAGCTATTTTTGAAGCATGTGCAAGGAACATAAACTGAACCCCACTTCAAGAAGTCGGAACCTTTCCCTGAACCCCACAGGACGCCATTTGGGCTCCTGGCAGCCTGGCCGATGGCTTCCTCCACTTCTGCAGTCCAATGGACCTGCTTTCGACTGCAAGCATGCTGCGGTGACAGGTTATAACGGTTATAAAACGGTTACAGGTTTGGGGTTTCGATGCTTTGGCTTGCAGCAGCAGTCTCCTGGGTTTGAAATCGGGCGGAGGTTTTGGGTTCGGGTTATTTAGGGAGGGTACTTTCAAATTGAACAGCCGCTTGCGTCTGTCAGCTGCTTTGGACCCGATGTCGAAGCTTCGAGGTCCCGTTCACAGCCCGGGATTTTCTGGCCAAAAGCCAGATGCTTCTGCTGCATCTGGCAGTACGTCTCAGAAATATTACCCGATATTACCCGCGCTGTTTGTGATGTTCGTCATACCCCACAGTCCACAGAAAATGCCCCAACTCCATGTTCCAATCCACAACTCCGACAGTATCAACCCTGTATACCCTCTTGCAGAAAAGTATATGAGATCCTGAAGCCCAGGAGCCTGAATGCCCAAACCCTAACGAACTGCAAAACGTACCGAAACCCTATGAGCCTTGAACTGGCAACAAGCTCAAACCGTTCAGATGGCCGCAGCACAAGGATCCCTACTACCGTGTAGCCGAAACTTTGTTCTTACAATATTTACAATATAAACCAATCAAAAAGGACACTAGCGCCATGAACGCTGAGTCCTACTTTCGTTGTTGCTGACATTATTGCTTTCACCTCTGTTCCCTTCCGAATGGCCTGGCTGGAGTTCAGGCAGACCTGGCCGGGCTGCTGCAGGACCTTTGCAGCCGCAGGCTTGGGCTTTAGGAACGGACTGCCTATAGGCGTTCGTTCCTATTCCAGCCTCAGCACCATCGGCAAGGAAAACACGCATGTCACACTGCGGTCGAACGAAGTCTGGACCCTGTGAATTCCACGAACGTCAAACCCAAACACATCCGAACTGTGCTCTTAGACTCAGCCCTGCTACAAGCAATGATTACGGTGCGTGCTCGTATCAATCATGACAATGATACCCAGAAGAAACACAGAGACTACCAAATCAATATGAGAATTTGACACCTTTGGTCCCGCGCCCACTCGGTACGGTCGAGCTCGATGTAGCTCTCGACGCCAATCTTGATCACCTCGTCATGGAACGCCAGTGCATGTCCGCGGAAATATATCAGCAATGGCATGGGAGCAAGCACGATGCAAGGCGATCCATCCAGGTACTGCTCAGGATTGTGCATGCCTGAAGGACATGCAGTAATGTGGACGGACGAGCGCCTCTCGCACGGCCGCGAGCATCTGGTTCTCAACTTCCGTCATCCAAGTCTCCACCTCGGTAGCTGAGCCACAACACCGGCACAGGAGGATGAAATCGCAGCGCAAGTGCCAGCGGCTACAACCAGCCCAACACAAGTCAGCCTAGGCGTGGCAGCCGTAGCAATGACGACGGAGCTTGCAAGCAAGAACTATTCATGTGGCTGCAATGCAATCCAACAATATCTTGTCTGGATGCAGGCCGAACTGAGGCAAACTCAAAACCGAGCAAGAATGGACCGAATACCTGCTCGCCCAAGCCTCAGGGCCTAGTGGGCTCTTGGGATCCTGCATTCTTCCCAGAGGTGTGAACTGGTGAGACCTGAGTGACGCGACGCGACTCACAAAGCAAGTATGTTAACATGCAAGTAAGTCTGCGCTTGCCTGCCTGCGCTTGCCTGCCTGCCTGTCTCACGTATTTGAATGTTTGCGCCTGTGCGCATGGATATGAGAATATGTGCATATATCTATATGTGTATATTATATGTGGTTATATCACATGTGGATGGGGCTTCCAGTTAACCTGTACATTCCCATTAAATTGTTGTCGCGGAGCGTGGTCTTGAAAATTCGGCCTTAGGGCTACGGCTACAGTACAAGGCATCAGGAATACATGCAGCTGCAGCATGAAGGTGATGTTGAAGATACACTTCTTTGACAGCTTAATTTCTCCAACTTCGGGCCCCCTGCAAATCGTGTGTACCACTCTATTCTCCTTCCACCCCGTTGCTGCAAAGGTGTGAGGCTCCAACGAAGTCGATAGTCTCACCTTCCTTCGACACCATCTGCGTTGCCGACCTTGTCTGATACACCATGCGATGGTCTCGCTGATTCGGGAGGCGGTGGGCGGTGGAATACGCTCTTGTATGGAAACTGGTGCCGATCGTAACTCATGTTACGCTTAGGACCAGGTACCCGAAGCTCCAGGACCACAGACCCTCTTCCACGGCAAGTCATAACGGTCTCTGCGGCGGTCCAAACTAAGCCCGTGAATTTAGGAGCTGAGATCTTCAATTGAAGAAGCAGCCCGAGCTACGGTGATGTGAATCTCTCGTCCGCCTTCAAATTCTCGAAGCCTCAAGACAGCCACTTCAGCCGTGGCCATGACAGCTCGGAAGTGAAGGTGAGCTTCTTCATTGCTTCGAAGACCTGGCCAACAGCTCCAAACGCCTTGAGTAGGGCTTAGCACGTGACCTGTGCACAGACAGTGGATGTAAAAAAACTCGCAACAACGAAAAGTCGGACGGAACAGACCACCACGTTTAATAAATCCTGGGACACGAACACGCTTGTAATATCTTGTAGTGCCAGGAGGAAACCGCAGTAAATCATCGTGGTGTCCGAAATGGCATGTAAACACCGGTATGAGGCGTGCACGCACACACAGAGACAAGCACACAGCTTACATGCTGAATCGTAGTCATCATCGTCAGTGTCATCATGTTGATCTCAATCATCAGCAGCCACATTAGTATCATGAACTGTTTTTATCTGCTCCCATTACCATCACCGTCCGCATCAAAAACATGACCATAACAACAGTTGCCAAAACACTCCATTGTAAACATTGCGATGCCGCTGTGCAGTGCTGGGCCTTGCAACAAGAATAGCAACACCAGAAAGCGCGTGACTGACCATCACAGTACAAGACTAGGAACTTGTGCCCTTGAGAACGTACACATTTTGGTCCTTCTCCGCCGCGGTCACCATCTCGTGGTATGTGCTAAATGAGGTGTCTTCCAAGGATCTTGAGCCTCTTCAAGGTGAACTCGTCTCGGTCCAGAATGTAATGATCTCGGCATCGATTCTGCATCCTGAGATGGTAGCTCCTGTAACATCATTCCCACCCAGAGAAATGACCGCGATGCGGACATGTTGTGTTGATGGCGCAATCCAGGAAACTGTCATCAGAAACCGCAGAGCTCCAAAGGCCGGAGGTTCGGAGGCAGCTTTCCGAGTGGGTTGATTGCAGGCAACCTCCGGGATGAGAAGATGGCATCCAGTCACATTGAAAATGCTGGCAGCCAGAGTCGACTTTGGAGACGCTGAAGTGGTTCTCACGGCAGGACGTCTCCGCCATGATCCAGCGGAATGTCAACGGCTTCCAGAAAGTTCCGCGTCCGCTTCCCATCCTGGATGCCAGATAGCTCATGATCAACAAAAAGCTATCATGCTGGACTCTGCAGGACATGTTGCAACTGCAAGGGGACGGAGGTCTTGTATTAATCAGGTAGCAAGTGCCGACAGCAAAATTCCATCGCGACAGCAACCTTGGAGACTTACTCATGCACCAGCTTCAGCAGTGTGATGAAGTCGCATCGCTCTTCAGTATCCTGGACAGCACACCCTGTTAGGTAAAAAGGCCGTGCGTGTGTCAGCGAAGAAGGAGAAGATCCGTTTGCAGACCGATTCACCTAAAATCTGCTTGCTTCCCAACATGCCGATACTTCTGCCAATTGGCCTGCAACTTGGGAGGTTCCTGCTGTCGCCCCATCGAGACATGTAGGGTCTCCTGGCAGGCGGCAAGGGAATCTTAGGCCTGCTGTCGACGGATAAACGGCCACAGCAGAAACAGAGAGGGAGCGAGCGAGATTGATAAGTGTGTGTGTATATAGATAGATAGATAGATAGATAGATAACAAATAAACAAACAAACAAATATATATATATATTATATTTTAGATATATATATATATTACTGGTAATATAATATATGTACACACGTGTGTGTGAATGGGTGTGTCGAAGTCGAAGCAAGCATGAACCACGCACCTGCATGGAATGACACTCTCGGACATCCGGAAGCACATCTAAATGTGTCATTCCACCTTTATACTACTGCACAAAAATGGAAGCTCACCAGCCAGCAATCCAGTCAGAATGATATCCAAACCCTCGTGTCGCTCCGTGCATTTGTCCAGGAGCCCGCTCTTTCGCAGAGTGGTCAGGAAGTGTGAATCCGAGGATACGAGCTCTGCAGGAAGGTAGTACGCCTGTGCAATTGAGTTCTGTGTAACTGTTGCAGCACCTCTTGCAGGGTCCGAAATTTAAACGTACGCGAAATAGGCGCTGTTGTTCGGCGACGCCAGTACCGTGAGCACCCAGAGATGCGCAGCGACATTGGGCCACAGTCTCAGTTGCGCCGCTCCCAAAGAGTCTGAACCTAAGAATAGTGAAGATCTCCTCCAGCCAAAATCACGACAACCCGACTAAAGCTCGCTTTCGCCGGGGTTCTCGCACACAAGGCCCGGAGTTGTGCTATCTTGGTTGTCCTGAGCAAAGACTCTTCTGTCCAATGCTGTGCACAAGGGGATCAGGACAGCTTGCAAACACTGACTTCCAACTCTAATCCTAAAGCGCACATCATAGTCAGCATCGCCAGTGTTGAGGAATTCCAAGCATGCAAGGCAGCCAAGTGTCGCATCCGTGTCATCGCACCAAAATTCCTGAGCTGTTTACAGCTGTGAAGAATTGGAGTAAATGTTAAATGATGCCATTCCATGCAGTCAACCCTTTTCCGCTAGAATGGCAACCAGTTCTACCACCGGTGCCACCTTCTAGTTCCTCTTCTTGTCTGTGAGTCCAGATCATCCTGAACACCTTTCCGAATCGTGACTGGTAGGCTTCCCTGACCACGTGTTTGCAACACGTAGGGTATCCCCTCACAGGGACTGCAGCGTAACTAGATTCATTCACATGCCTCGGCGCGTTGGCGAAATGCCAGAGGCATGCAACTTAGGTCCTCGAGCCTTACGTCACTCGTCCAAGTCTTACACCATGGTGCTTGGAGGAGGTGCAGGCAGGCTCGTATAAACGGTCACGGGTTCCAACCAAAAGAAACAACAGAAAGACGATGTGACTAGGCCTATGGGTTGCCGCGTGATGGCGACGATGATGGTGACCTTGAGACTCTTACTGCTCCTACTATATTGCGATTGTTACAGCCGAGGATCTCCCAGGGTGACATGCGCAGGGCCCCTGCGCTGGCCGAAGACACAATGGGCTCAATGGGGCTTATCTCAAGGATTCAAGGCTCCGGGTCTAGAGTCTACAGGAGGGTTGTAGCTCGAGGTTTATCGCGGCCACTATATAGGCTTGATGGGTTTTATGCTTGCGCCTTGACGTGGGAGTGGAGGCCTAAGGCTGACAAAGTCGCGGAAGGCTTAATTCCGTCGATCTGATGCTCCAGTGCTGCGAGGTGGCCTCGGGAGCAGCTTCTCGCGCCCGGGCTCAGCGCGCAGCGCATCCAACATCTCCTGGAAATTCTGGCTTTGTAGCTTCAATGTTGGTTCCTGCTCCTTTCCGCACAGCACTCCTGAACAGGCGAGCTGCCTGGTAACACGATGCCTCAGATCATGCGGGAAAAAGTGAGTATTTAATGCCACAATCGCCACCAAGCAATCCATGCAAGGGGAAGTGGTTACCAGGTATGTCCATGTGCATGTCTCCATAGGTCCTCTAGGTGAGCATCAGTTCGTGCAACCCCAAACATTCCTGACATGTTGAACTTGACACAGATTGATGTCCAGCTGGCGCAGCTCGTAGTGGGCCATTGCATTCGATGGTGCTCTTTGCGATAAGGTCCTTAGAGTTTGCGCGACCGCATCGGTTGTAGATAGCATATTAAAGCATCGCAACTAGGCCTGCCTACACTGAAATGACTGTCTTATATACCGATACCTACTCCACCAGATAGTCCAAGAAACGAAAGCGCGGCTCTGTTCCTGCAATCGCTAGCCTGAGCCCTTGCAATGAATTGACTCTATCTCAGCGAGATTAAGTGGTTAAGCTGCACTAAGCTGGAAGATGCGGAGTCCTTCACAAGAACTCCGAATTGGTTGCTTATGTTGCAGCCCTCTGGACAAAACACGTCACCAGAGGAGGTTATGAAGCGAGAGAGGGATTTTAAGGTGCTGCGGCCAGTCTAGATGCAGTCTACAGAATCGGAGACTTATGGGAGCTGGTCTCGAGAGGTAATTAATTAGACAAGGACAAGGACACGCTCAACCTTGAAATACAACTGCTTATCGAAGAGGCAGGAGACACAAAACGATGCCTGCGTAATCGAGAAGCCGCGGTGTAGCTCAACAGACGCCAGCTCAGGCGCGCAGGAACATCATGGGCCAGATTGCACAACTACGTTACATGACATCGTGGCAGAGCCGCATGGCTGGACCGAGCCTACTCATTGCTGGATGGCGATGGATCCCTGGAGGCCGCCATTGTTCGAATCGAATCTGGCATCGCTCAAAACAGGTCACGCCTTGGACAGGAAGGGCTGCACCCGAAGTGGGTCCTCCGCACTTGAAAGCCGAGAGCATTACTATATTGTACATTTGCATATATCCTAGGCATGAATATATAAATAGTCTGTTACACTTATTGCCGGAATTCATGGCTTCGGATGGCCAGCTGTATTGTGCGAAAGCTCGCTCTTGATTTAATCTAGCAGTGTAATGATACTCCCGGGCATGAATTGAGCAACAACCATCGCGCCATCCTTCGTCTGCGACAAGATTTCGAGCAGTTCATCCTTGGCACATGTGAGGCTCAGCTGCCTAGTCGCACGAGGCAGTCAAGCACTGCCGGAGCTGGGATGCGTGCATTGGACAGGAAGTAGAAGCGTGCAAAGGCACCCCGCTTGGTCTCCAGGTAGTCATCGAGGCCTGGCGTTGAGCCCACCAAGATCCATGCTCGGAGCACGTTTACAAAGCAAGATGCAAACAGCGTACCACAAGCTGAGAAACTTGGGACGTCAGGTCTCCGAGCTGTGAGCCTTTCTGGACCATGTCGAGGTCAGCATTTGCGTTATTCCACATCTCCAGAAGACCTTCCTGGGTGAAGCGAGAGAGGAGAGTTGTTGTGGTTCTTTATCCTATACTTACGCATGTCTTCCAGAGTTACGAGGACGTCAGGAGCTTTTTGGTTGTTCGGTCACTTATCTTTACTCTGAAAACTGCTAATTTCAAGACGCAGCTATGCCCAACAAATCCCGAATCAATGCATTCAGAGCACCCAGCTCAGCAACCCTGACTGCCAGCCCCGACGAATTGGAATCCAGGTCTCCTAAGCACGCGAACCCTTTATCTCGTGGGTAGCCCCAAACCCTTGAGCAAGGAATACAACTTCAGAACATAATAGAAGGAAGTTCCCATACTACATGATGCAAAGAAAAGCCTCTGGCCCCCGAGTACCCTGAGCCATGCATCCTGAAACCCGCCTGCTCCGTAACTTGCAAATCTGAGCCCGATAAGCCTTGAGACCCAAAGCCTGACTGCGCTCCGACCTTCAAGCAGCCCTCAAGGCTTCTGTCGCTTTTTAAGTATACATATATATATATATACACACACATATATCATATATCATATATCATGTCTATATCTATATCTATATCTATATCTATATCTATCTATCTATCCCTCTCTCTCTCTCTCTCTCTCTCTCCCGGTCCATCTATCTATATGATGCTGTATGCATGCATGGATGTATCTTGAAATGTCCCTCAGCTCCGGGCCATGGAGCAGGCCTGAAGGGCCGCCGAGTTCTGATGCAGCCGCGCCATGGTCTGACGGGAAACGGACACTCGCGGGTGAACAGAAATGATCAGCTTAGGTTGCTTTCTTGGCCTTTTCTGGTTTGGTCGCGTTCGCGGCCGCTTGCGGGGCTGGCTGAGGCCAAACGTGAAATTCGGACTTCAAGAAGGTGGTTTCGGACTTAGTGAGTCGGGCGTGGGGTGCTTTTGAGGATGAGGGGATTGGAAACTCGTCAGGTTCAGGCCAATCTCTTCATTTCACAGGGCATCCTTCTGATTGTAAGCTGGATGTCTGGGATTTGGGGATTTGATGCTATAGGCTATAGTAGCTAAGCCCTACAGCAGGCGCCACACACTCAGTACCAGTGTCGCCAACTATGGAGGCTCCTTCAAAAGTACTGATTCTGTGGCATCGCGGGGTCTCGTTAGCAATCTCACAACAAGCATCTCAAGCTGAGCAGCATGGCCAAACACTGTACAGAGAGGCTGGTGATCGGTCAGCAGGATTGGTGGGAACCCTCAGCCCTAGGCTACTCGATCAGTGCGGCAGTGAAGGAAGGAAGGTTCGAACAACGCTGACAAATTTCTCATATGCCCGACCTAGGCCAAGGATTGGAATGCTTGGTAATCACCAAAAGAAGGGCTCCTTAAAGCATAGATCCTGAGTCAAACAGGTCTTCCCAGCATGACGCCCAAGGCCTATGACCTCAGAACTTCTTCCAACTACAAGCAGCCCAGAGTCAGGGCCGCTGGCCTGCCGCCACTTGCTGTCCACGAGGCGGAACTTCTTTCCTGGTTTGGGCTTCTAGACGACACATCGAGGGGAGGCAGGTGCCTATCGCAGGGCTGTGGGGTGGAACGGGAGCCAAGGCGTGTCAGGGCTCTTGTTGGAAATGTTACTGACAGGCCACGGATACATGCCTGGAAATCCGTCCAAGCGCAGAATCTTGCACCCAAGATCACACAAGCTTCGGGGTCCAGTGCGTGTGTATCAGCTTTGCAGGATTTTTGTTTCTCACCAACACTACGGCTCTCGACAGAGCTCCCATGTAGAGCCGACTTGAAGATAAGGTCTCAGGACTCCAGACCTTCCGTCGGCAGCTGCTTCATGATGTCAGGGGAGTCAAAGATGGGCTGCAGGTACATCCAGGCCTGAGAGCAGGAGAGAAGCGGGCTCTGGGCTCGGGCTTTGCCTCGGAGCACCACTCTGAAAAAATGGCAACCGGTGCTTCAACGCAAGGCCTTGGCCCCTGGCACGTTGCACCTTGAGCCAGCCGTCGAGACACTCCGACATGTACAGGAGCTTCTCAGCCCAAGCCTGACTTGGAAAATGAAAGGAGTTCTGGTTTTGGCTCTGCGGTGTCTGAAATTTGACTGTCTCTTTTCTGCTCTGTTGGGCAGAGGCCTCCTCGTTGATTGACAATATGATATTGCTGAAAACAACCACCGCAAGAAAGAGGGATGACATCCTCACTTCCACCTTCTCCGAAGGAGCACTTATGAACAATACGGAGAACACTTCGTGGCTTGCAGAGTCTTACAGTGCATCTACAATTGCGTATCTCAAGATGTCCATATAGATATTAAGAGTGTCAACCGTCCGTTTGCACAAGCAAGGTCTCAAGCCTCAGTTTGCACATACTAGTACCAATTGCAGTAGCAGTAGCAACAGCAGTAGGAGCAGTAGCAGCAGTGGCCGTAGACTGTAAACGTAACTTCATGCGCTATCATTTCATTTTATTGCTTATCGCCTTACAGGCTAAACCACGCAAGGGGCATCCTAGACCAATCTACAACCCCCCCCCCCCCCCCCANNTAGACCAATTTACAAACCCCCCGTGTGACACAACCGCAAGTACTTGATGGCTCGTTGGGGTGGAGGGCCAGTGAAGGCCAGGGCATGAGGGAGCGCTGTGTGGCGAAGTGCAGTTCAGTCCGCGCTTAGCTTTGCAAGGCTTTGCTACAAGCCGCTAAGCACGCAGCATCGATTTCGTCCTTGAACGGCTTGTTGAAGGGAGAAAACTGCATGGCCTGGCCAGACTCGTGCCCGCATGGCATCCGTACTTCAGAAGCCTTACCAATCCTAACAGTGCTCTCCGTATTGTGTGAACTGGATGCAATAGTAACCCTAATAGAAATTATCGTATTCGTTAACGATCCTGGGACAGCTAGCCCAGCATCTAGCCTTCATCACACAACTGCGACTCTCTGAAGTCTCTGAGGAATTGGGGTTTGAGGTAGCCGAAGCCCGTTCCACGAGCAGAACGAATGCTGTCCACCGCTCTTCGCACGCAACTGAACGTTTCTGAAAGCTCCGCCTCAAGCCATTTCTCTGTCTTCGGGAGCCTCCCTGCTAGGTTGGAGACTGCGTGTGAACCGAAAACCGGGCATGCTCCATACTCTGTAATCAAGTACCATATTTCAGGCCAGTCCGTTTGGAAGCAGCTTTTCGGGTGTTTAGGTAGGGCTTCGTGGCTGCACGGCTTGGTCTGGGTCGTGAGCTTCGGGCTATGGAAGAGGGGCTGAGCTCTCCTGAGTTTTCAAGCACCCGGCAAGACTGGAGTACCGTGCATACGATCGTGGTCGTTAATTACGATTTAGCTTACCTGCGCCCTAAACCCTCTACACGTATTCAATTCAATTCACCCTAGACCAATAAATCCTATATCAAGCGAGTCACTGGACCTTTATTTAACACATCACGGTCGGTTGCCTGGGTCACGACGATCTGCTCGTCGATCAACGCAATTACCTCGTCAGCTCCTGCAGATGAGGAGCCACACAAGCATAGGCCCAGGGGTTCGCGTCACCCTGAAATCGTAATTATGTACGAAGCTCCTGCAATCGGATAAAAAAAAGCACCTGATTGCAATGCATCGCAGATAGCAAGCACGAGGCCTTTCAAGATGTAGGTCTCCGTGGTGCGGTATGGCCTTGCTGCGCCGGGTGGCGAGTGGCAGCAAAAGGTGGGTGGTATTAAACAAATAAAAGCCGACTTCTGCAGAAGTCAGGGAAGTACCAGGAACCAAGCAACAAACAAAGCATTCCGCAAAGGATACCCGCTGGCTGGGCATGCCGAAGAACACTGAGGGTCGCACTCACTGCAGTCAAATTTCATGCTGTCCCACCTTGCAGACATGTTTTCACTCCCATGCACATCTGTTGTCCGAGCTTTTGTTCCAGTGCTGTGCACCAGCTCAAATCGAATCTACAGTAGGGATTTGCTCTCTCAGCAATCAACTCTACACTCCATGCTTGGACAGGAGAGATCGGTTGCGAGGTCTGCAAAACCACGAGGCCCTGGCGCTCTCATCATATTTGTTAACTGTGTCTCAATCGACAACTCCTTGCCGCTGCGATCGCCAATGTCACTGATCCTGGGATCGACGTCATCCAAGATGCGTGGTAAGGGTGTCTGGTGCATTGTCTCCGGCTGTCGGCAGAAATGCAGAACGACTACTACATGTGCTGCATAGCAAGTTGGGGCCGGACGTAGACACGTGGTCCAGCATGCCTGACATTTCGAAGTGCTCTCCACCGACAATACTGGACCTTCCCTAGTGTTTACGGCGTTCAATAAGTGCAGCCCGGAAGCCCAAAGAAATGAAGGACTTCAGCGTGAACTCCTCCATGTTGGGATCTTGGCAGCCAGGCTCTTGCTGAGCTTCGAAACGGTGAAGGCCAAATCACGGAGGGTTTGGGCTTGCACTTTTCGAGTCTTGGGTGCATGCAGGCTTCCATGAAGCTGGGATCTTGACTCACTTCGTTCCCGACCAGCTCACTGACCTCATCTGGAAAGAATTCAGCACGAGCCTGGGGATAACTTCCGAACTCAGGTCCCACGCCTGCGTCCAATGCCGCTCCCGCATGCCAGGGTTGCGTAGGCCTGTGACCTGATGTGCTGCTCGACTCGAAGCTGAAAAGAATACTTGTCCTTACTCCGGTCGAACCATGCTCTATGCCTGAGCAAAAGAAATAAGCAGAAATCAGCGTGTCTGCATTTACGTGCTCTCTCTTGAGTCTCTACTATACATGCACATTATGTCTGGATGTATGTTGCACGAATGCACGACTATGTAGTTTGTACATAAAAATGAGCACGCCCAGCAGGTGGAGAAAGCTACAAGCCTGCATGGACGCCATGTCGGTCTCAGGATCAGACAATGGGCACGTAAGGCTGGAAGGCATCGATCTGGCCCTGTGCACATCCATACATGTCACGAAGTCGTTTGAACTGCTCGCGCAACACAGTCACACAGTTTAGCAGGATGACTGACAGGTGACTCCGGCAGGGCTGCAGGACCTTGGCCTAAACTACGGTGTGCCCTCTTCCAATTTTCAAGTTCAAGAGCCTGCAGACTTAGAGGAAGTAGGGTGCTAGAGCAATCTCTCAGAATATGAGGGAGCAACTATGAATTGAGGGACAAAACCAAGCTTGTTCATCAACCCGACTCAAACGATCCTCGATAGCACTGATGGGAATTGAAGAAGATCGCACCTTGATGTCTCTTGCGATTTGCAAGACTTTGCCGGCGTCCTCCCTCTTTTCGAGCCCTTTCACCTCCGGCACCACGAGGCCGATGCGCAAAGTTCTATCGCTCACGACACGTCACCTCTCTGCCCACGTTTCTGGCCGCATGAATATGTACACATCTGGCTGGCATATATGATTGAGTAATTCAACAACCATGAGCGTGTACAACCTGAAAGAAAACAATCTCGTAAATTCTGTACGCACGATGCACTCATACAGGCTCACACGCACATGTATCCGCACATACTTTATTTTATGAGATGTTCAACGATCGATGGACGTATCAAAGTGCTTTTGGGTGTTCTCAGGTGTCCTCTGCAGAGAGACCCGATAAGATGCTGCCGACACAGAAGAGTATTGTCATGCACGGCTGCTGCAACAAGCCGCTATACAAGATTCGTACACTGCTGTTATGTCATACCGAGCAGTACGCGACACAATGAGCCCTCAGTGAACACGGACCAGGCAAGTGAGGTCCCCGAGGCCGCAACCGTCTTGAACAGGGTCTTCGCTCCTGTTGTGACAGACTGCTCACCTGGCCGTCAGCAGCTTCACAAGGACGCATGCATCCGTGAACTTGATCGGGATTCGGGTCAGGAGGCCACAGTATCAGTCGCGAGGTTCTGCGACCTCTACATGGTAGGGCAAAAAAGCGGAACCGGCACTTTGAAGTCTGGAAATACGGGCCATGCATGACAATACTTGGCATCAATCTCGTGGAAGGGGCCGTTCCTTGTGGCAAGGAGCACAGCAAGCAGGCTGCAGTACCAGTTGTTACCGTTCGCCGCAGACTGAAACACCGAGTGCTCTGTGGGCACTACATCCACTTTTCGGAGTCTTCCAGCCAATGGTACGCCGTGACCTGAAATCCAAACACGTGCAGGCACGTGCCAACCATCCCGGCAAGTTCGGAACTTCAGCCAAGCCGAGCGCCCAAAGCTGGGAGAAGGGCTCCCATTCCTGCGTTCATGGCATCTTCGTCGGACATGGAAGGAAGGTGCTTCGCTGGCTGAGGTACGCTACCCAAAGAAGCTCCGAAGCAAGGCGGCCTTCTGAAGCTGCTGCAGGTGTGTGTAGTCGGAGGACTCTTGTCCGAAAAGAGCCTGCGCATGGCAGCGAGAGGCCGATCGTGGCTCAAGGTTTCAAACAGGAAAACGAAAATCTCTCTAACGAAACGAGTCACGTCAACTTTCGTTCTGGTGTCATGCTGAGGAAGGGAACGAGGAACGCGAGCCACAAGGGCGGGAAAGCAAGCGAGGATGAGTCCTCAGTACGATGAGCTTGGATGACGATGACAGCAGCCGTCTCTGTGGTTGCGGTAGTGTTGATGGTGACCGTGGTGGTGATGACGATCCGAAAATACGCCGCAATGCACCTGCCTAGCAAGTGTCTTAACTCCTGATAGGAGGTGGGCATGTGCGGCAGCAAACTCAGCAAACTTTGAACGTTCCGTTTGCGGTCTCGACCAGAAAGACGGGACCACGTCGCATGGACATTCGATGTCAGTGTGATGGATATGTCGGGTAGTAATGTTGTATGCGGCTGCTCGGTCGTACTGTACTTGAAGGGCTTGCACTCCAAATAGGACCCTACGAGGCCCGAAACTCAATGCGAATTCAAGCCGAAAAGGAGGGTGTCCCGAGGTAGCACAGCAGATGCTGCGTAGACCACCTGGCCCTAGCATAGCAAGCCTGCACATACCCCGGAACCAATCCTGGAACGAAGATGATTCACACTACAGAACACCCACGGCAGTCTGGCAGATTGACCATGTGCACCCGAACATACACGCGGTACTGTAGATGGAGCACGAATGCCAACTTTGGAAACTTCCAAGACAGCGTCATTTCGAGACACAGCTACCAGTTCGAAGCTCCGAGGAGCCGAATTGGGAGCACTGGGCTGTGTGGGAGCACAGTTTCCACCAAACAACCCGAGAAGCACTTCAAAATCCGCACGGCACTGCGGCTCAGGACCGCATTGTCGAGTCTTGACCTCCATAATTTCGTCATTTAGTCTGTAGCAGTTAGCTTCAGCTCAGGGATTGAGACATCACAAGGTTGAAGCAGAAAGCACAGCTCGGGCCTCACGGGAGTTGAAGAGCTTGGCCTGGGACGAAGCCTCCCGCAGGCGATCGTTGACGCCTCGGCAAGGGCGGCGAGGGCATTTCGGAGTAGGTATAGTCGGTATCTACAGCATCTGATCACTGAGACGTTGGAAGCCTGGATGATGTACTGTATGGCTCGGGGCTTAAATGCTCCCTCGAAGAAGTTATGATGCTGTGCTGTCAACAGGCTTCTGAGTTTACCGCGTGGCCTGTGGAAAAGCAGAAACTGCAGCATCTGAGGCGATGGCTGACTACATTCTCATAGATCTCCTGCGGTGCGAGAAAGGACCACTGGCTTTCGGCTTTCGCTATTTCTCCTAGTTCAACATGTGATCATCTCAAAACGTCAAATAACCGGGCCCTCCAACGCCATGGCTGGCAGTTGCAACAGCTGGCAGGCATGGATTACTGGGCAAGTCATCGCCGACTAGGGTATGCGGACATGCCTGTGTTCTTCTTTCATGTGAAGAAGCACGGCATGCCTGTTGTGAGAGAAAGGCTGCACGAAGCAGCTACTTTTAACGCACTCTGACAGAGACGCCACCATTAACCATGGAATCGTGGAAAATTTCCGGTCATCAACTGAGGGACTCGTTTCAGGCCGACCTTCTTGAATGCCCGCAAAAGTCGGCTGGCCTCTCAATGCCATCTCTTGTTCCAAAGAAACACACGCATGGTAGGAATCTGGTCGACTGAAAGAATGCCATTCAGCCGTTGGTTCATAGTGACGGCGATTCTGCGGCCGCACTGAAAATCTAGTGGATATGCTGTCTTAAACATAACGAATGTCTTGCGGATCCATGTAGGACGGCCTCAGCAGCTCCGACACCGGCGATTTCGGAGTGCTCCAGGTACTGTCGACGCCAAGCCGCAACCATGCCATTGAAGACGCGGTTGTGGAAACTGAACTTAGCCAGGTTGTGGAAATTGTAGCCAGTGTCGAAGCATCTTCGAACATGCCGGTCTGCTCCACTTCGATAACGAGCATGTGGTAAGTCACAGGGCTGCCCGTCTTTCCCAAAATGCGTGCTTTGTCGCAACGGTTCTCGGAGACACGTAGCTCGTCCGGTCTTTCTCCGTTGATGCAGAAATTCACCCTGGCCGAGCAGCGATAAAACAAGAAGTGGTCGGGTCTGAAAGGTGAGTCGCATGCTGGGCAGCGAATTTGCTCGTGGCAAATTTCCTCGTTTGGTCGGTGCCTCTCCATGCGCATGTTTTTCAAGACGCAGCTCTGTTCGGCCTCACATAGCACATAGCCTCTTGAAGCAGGTTCCCATGTAGGACACGCCAGGATGGAGGACTGTCACTCAGGACGTCAGCCTCTTCCGAGCTATGCACATCTGGACACTGGAACAAGACTAGCGATTCGAAGGCACGCCGAGGGTACACGCCTGGCCCTCGGATTTCAATGAAAACCCGGTCAGCTCGACTGCAGCAGCTGCGGCATGTTGGCACAATTGAAATCTACGCTCGGCAGCTGCTACAAAAGCAAAGCATAAGATAACATAGTACCACAGCTCTTACTTCTCGCATATATATATATATATATGTATATATATATATGTATATATATATATGTATATATATATATGTATGTATGTATATATATATGTATATATGTATATATGTATATGTATACGTTGGGGAATCAACCTGAGGCGGGTGTGGACCTACGCCAGACTCACGCAACCTAGACGACGCGGCGTTCTCAGTCACGCCTTGATGTTGGCCAGGTTGGAGTACTGCGCGAAAGTGTCCACAATGCCAGCCTTGCCATCAGCATGCAGAGCACCAAGCGTGACATCCATCATGATTTGTTGCCTTCCACTACACTACAGCTCGACCAGAAATGGCAGCTTCGGGTTCCTTATATCTGTGTGAGCCATATACACTACAGGGCCGGTGTTCGTCAAGCGAGTTGGAACCCCTCGCCTCACATATGCCAGACCGACTCTGCTACTACCCACAAGCCGGTAACTCTGTAGTGCCCCGCCAGATCAACCAGGTTCTCATCGAAGTCAGACTGCTCCTTAACAGTCCGATGCTGGTCATTTATCGCGGCTTCACGGTCGGAAGCCATGCGGCTGCAGCAGTTAGAGTCCAATCCGGCCTGCTGCATCTCCTTCAGGTAGCCCTTTTCGGCTTTGACCAGCTCGTGTTCCACCTGTTGGCCAGAAGGCTGATGCAGCTTGTACAGGATCAGCAGGGCTTATGCTCCAGTGAGAGGGCACCTGCCCCATGAGGTCGAAAGTCTGCTTTGGGCAACCGAAGACTCGCCAGCGCTGGTAGGCATCATCCTTGCAGTTCAATGCATTTATGTGTATAGTACGTCAGTACGTGCATATCGGCTGCATGTGGGGCAACTGTAAGGAACCAGCATCAACGATCAACTACCCTTCCGCGACTCAGGTGAGTGCATTCGTGAGTTTCATGGCAAAGCCCTCCAAGACCTGGGTGCATTTATAGGTGACAGAAACAGGATGCAATGCCTTCTTGCATGGCTGAACGAGTGAGACTCCAAAAACTGAGCCGATGACGGTGTAGATCTGTATGCACTTGTTGATGTCTGGAGCAGCCCTGAGCAGCTACTGGTAGAAGCTCCAGCGAGGATGATGGCTGAGATCGTCGTCCATCCACCGTAAAACATACACATAGCTACAAACGGGGTCGGCCATGCTGCCAAGACCCGGCACCTAAGTGAAAGAAAGCCTGCTAGTTTGCAAAGTATTCCAAAAACAACTCGCCAAGCAAGATCTGAACCACTGTGTGCAAGGTATCAGCCGTGCAAGGATCTACCAGCAGGCCGGCCAAGTAGAGGCTTCAAGGAGATGAAGGCCCCTGCTTGGAAACCTCGCCGGGAACTCCACCTGTGCCCAGGGGGCTCTTTTGCTGCAAGGGGCCATTCCGCTGGTGGAACTGGGCAGAAGCAGCAAGCAAAAATGCGGAGTCTTGTAAGCTGCGAACTCATGAACTCACGAAGCTCGGTGGACTGCTCGATGTTCTTCGGCGCCTGGCATCAAAACAAAAACAATGGGTAAACAGTGGTAAACACCTGAAAGGTGAATGCTGCCCACTAAACACTCTTAGCCGGACTCTGCTCCAAATATGTGGCGTGGAGATACCGAGGCCTTGCGCAGCTGGGCGAAGATGCCTTGGAACATGTCCTGGCACATTCGCGTCTGGGGTTTGCAGTTGGGTATTGCTACATTTCACGCGGTTTCGGGCCCGTGGCACAGTGAGTCTCCAGACATGCCCGGGCGACCGCGACTTCTTGAGCACTGTCCCGAAAACGGTTCAGCAGCATCTCTTCCTGCGACAGGCACACCACGAGCACTTCTTCGAGCAAAGTTCATGCACATACTCAGAACTGAGTAGGGTTTCGAAGTCTTGAAGCTCCAGAACTGCATGATTGATGGGGATGCGCAGATAGTAAGGGTACTTGCCCAAGGCTGCCACCAACAGCTCCACGATCTTTCGATGACGACTCGCCTGAAGACTGCTGCTGTGCGGCCAAAACTGCTAAAGATCTCCTTCCGAGAGGTTCCTTTAAAGAGGTCCACACCGTTTGTGTCGTAGAATATCTCGCAGTCCGATCCTCTGAGCTCTGGGCTAAGACCTTTCGGATCTCAGAGCAGTGGATCTCGAAGAGCCCCACCACCTACTCGGAAGGACAAGCACAGATCTCGGTTGACATGACCACACAAAATCGGTAGAAGAGGCCGACAAATACGCTGACACTTCCAAAATGCAACAGGAACAGTGCACTTGCAATTAGGTATGCATTGAGGTACATGCAAGTACAACACACGCACACACATACACAAGACGGATCTACATGCAAACAAGGCGTACATTCAAACTAATGTACAGTACCTCGTATGGTCGTGAGTAGCTGAGTACTGTACTTGGGCCGAGTAAACCTTGGCTTTCGGCTTCATGCAGCTCAGCTGCCGTAGTGTCTGGGATGGCATCCAACACCTTCTGCCTCAGCCAACGTCCCAGTCACAGAAAGAGTCCAGAGAATGTGGGTTCCGGCGCTCATCATCGGAGCCCCACAAGCACTCAAACTGACTTGCATCAAATTTTACCCAAACTCAAAGTCTTTGCAGAGCCTTTTGTAGTCTACCCATTGGCAGGCAGGCTATTTGCACATTGGCGCACGACGCCCCAACGACTCTGGGCTTAGAGCTCTTCGTCCATGTGCTCCAGAATGAACTGCTTGGCCCTGGGGCAGAGCCACAAATGCGAAAGCGCAGGTAGAGGCAGGGTGGAAGGTATTGGAGCTTTTTTCCTAGACCGGTGCTCCGGTCCCAGTGTGTAGCAATGTCACGGCACTTGCCGGCAAGATGATGCAGGATTCTTGCTTTCCTGCATGCCGGGGAAGCAGGAATCACAATCATTCGAATCATGGTACCGCATTCTATAGAAGGAAGGGCCTGCACTAGGGGATGCTGAGATTCGACAAAGGGAGAGAGGTCCACAAGGACGGCCCCGCTACGCACATCCAACAACCGATCGAGGCCCGGGCTCGTCTGTAGAAATCTCTGCTGCAGACTTCTCCTTGACCTGGAAGTGTGTGCGCTCGGTCGTTCGAACATCTGTAACTTTCGAGAAGACTGCTCAAAACCACCGACCCCTTTCTGCAGTTCAGACTCGCAAAGATGCGTGCAGTTCCGTTCGCATCGTGACAGGTGTTAACCCCTATCGGTCAAAGCCCCGTTGCTTTTGCTTTCGCCGCCGGGCAGCCGAAGCAATCAGATGAATCAGGTAGAAGGACAAGTGCGAATTCATCAGAAAAGGGAAGTATGCCAACAGCCGCCAGTACTGCTAGAAGAAGCCATCGAGGGATGTCGTGACCCTGGCGATGACAGTGCTCCGAACCGACATCAAGACACTCGGAACGGGCCGTTTATTCGCTTCACTAGCTGGGCTGGCTGCGTATTCAGCAGGGTCCAGTCCTTGGGCACATGGACATCAGAAGCTGGCCATGATATTCCAGTAACCCGAAATGTGCCCATGGCCACGTGCAAATCGACCCTCCATGCTGTCAAGACTGGTGAGGCCGAGGCGAAGCAAACTTTCATAAGGCTCAAAAAGCTGAAGGAACCTGCAGAGGCTCTGAGCGAATGGGTTGTCGGCTGCGGGTTTCTGACACAAGGACAAGCACGGTTAGATCTGCAAGTTACGGGTCGACTGTTGCAAAGCACGGTGGCTCAGTTGCAATTAACGAGTTCGTCACTAGCCGTCACTAGCCCACCCGACAGTGTAAGTATGAGAATGTGCCAAAGTTGCACCTGGGGACGGTCACTTCTACGACGCCCAGAGCTGCCAGGCTGTGTTGTAATCTTACACGGGGACGCCGACGACAACAACGGTTCTAGCTTGCTTGCGCAGCTGAGGTTGGATTCGAAGGACACCGAAAGTGTAAGAGCGCTGACCTTAAATCCTCAGCCGCTACTGCCTGGCTGCCTGGCCCCAGCCCTTGAATCCTGGGATTCCCAGCTCAGAGAGAGCCGGCAGGGTACGCTCCAGCTTCCCCACCAGGACATCCCGTCTCTGGACGACCTTCGGATGATGCTGCAGTAGAGTTAAGGCTGAGGCGGCCAATGGATTCTAGCATCCATGGTAGCTTTACGGGCATCTAGGGTCGATGGGGATTGATTGTGATCCCATGGGCTAGGGTTTGGGGCAGAGCTTCGAAAAAGGCAAGAAATAGCAAAGTTTGGCCGGTGAGGCCTCGATTTTAGTTGGGTCTGTATGGTCGTGTGCAGCATGTAAAAGTTCGCTGTTGAATCTCTTTGTGCAGCGTGCCAAGGTTTGTTGATTCGGATGCATGCCTGAACCTGGAAGCCAAGCGTGGCCCCAAAAACACTTAAACGGGCTGTCCTTAAGCGTACCATAGGGGCTCAGCCGCAGACCCATGGTTCGGTGGCATCCACGGTGCTGAGCACCTGCCGTGTTTCAGGTGGGTGTGCATTACATTAATGATCACCAGTGTGCGTACGAAGTAGAGCACTGAGATGCGAATATAAACTTCTACGACAGAATCCATGAAGCTTTATGGCTGCGCGGGGCAAGCCTGCTTGTGGACCACCGTGCGGAAGAGCTGTGGTACCACCTGACTGACGCATGCCATTCGAGGCGAGCTTTTCAGAACGAAAGGAACAGCAAGTTTTGCTCGTGGTCCGATTGGACAGCGTTGGTTGGAGACATGCAACTCATATCATCTACCTTAGTAACAATTGGCCAGACTTGAATTACACCCCCAAGTCCCGTAAGGTCCGAACCAATGCATCCAATTGCGGAACATCTGCGAGGCTCTGAAGCCTTGTTAGGGCATTGAGACAGGCACGCACTCTTGCGGTCAAGGCGACAAGAATGCAAGTACCTAAGCAGGCAAGTGAAAAACTAGTCCGTGCGCACAAACCAACTCTCACGGAGCTCGGTGGTCTTCGTGTGAGCTTGTTCAGAACTGTCTCTGCTGACAAGTTGGGATGTTGATTTAGACGCCTATCTATCTCCCTCTCTCTCTCTCTGTTCTCTGTTCTCTGTCTGTTTGTCCGTCTGTCCGTCTGTCCGTCTGTCCGTCTGTCCGTCTGTCCGTCTGTCTGTCTGTCCGTCTGTTGGTCTGTTGGTCTGTTGGTCTGTTGGTCTGTTTGTCTGTTTGTCTGTCTGTCTGTCTGTCTGTCTGTCTGTCTGTCTGCCTGCCTGCTGTCTGTCTGCCTGTCTGTCTGTCTATCCATCTATCTATGCGTGTGGGCGCAGAAATGCCAACTATGAATAGGCACAGGTATGTATGCATAGAAAGAAATATCCACAGACATTAAGACCTATACAAATAGCCATGTACACATACATACGCAATAAGCTTCTAAATACATGCTTATGCATGCATGCAAGCATGTGTGTGTGTGTGTATGTATCTGGCTATGTATGATTATGTATGTAGGTATGCATGTCTGCAGGGAGGTTGGTAAGTAGGCAGGCAGGCAGGCAGGCAGGCAGGCAGGCAGGCAGGGAGGCAGGCAGGCAGGCAGGCAGGCAGGCAGGCAGGCAGGAGGCAGGTAGGCAGGTAGGTGTATATGTGTGTATCTCCGTGTGTGGATGTATGCATGTATGCAAGTAAGTATGTATGTATGCAGGTATGTATGTATGTAAGTACACATGTAAAATATGTATATGTCCATGTGTGTATGAATATGTACGATTCTGTAGGCAGGTAGGTGGGTGGGGTAGGTAGGTCTGTCGGGTCGGTGGCGGGTGGGGGGGGGGGGTAAGGCAGCTGGGTGGATTCAGATACATACATATGTGTGCATGTATGTATGTATGTACGTACGCAGGTATGTATGTATGTATGTATGTATGTATGTATGTATGTGTGTAGGTATGTATGTGTGTGTAGTACAAAGGTAAGTAAGATCTCTATATCTATCTCTATATCTATCTCTATATCTATCTATCTATCTATCTATCTATCTATCTATATATATAATATGTATATGCATATGTATGCCCGTCTGTCTATGCGTCCGTGTCTGCATGGTTGCATGCATACATGATCACTCATGATCATGCGAAATCATGCATAACTCATTCATGCATTCATTCATCGATTCATTCATCTCATTTCATTGATTTCATTCCATCGGTCCATTCATTCATTCCTCGTTTTTCATATTCGTACTTACAGTACATGCACTCAGACTCAGACGGACAGACCGACTGAGTGAGGCACGCTACACATATGCCCTGCTGAGATGCCAGCCCTTGCTCCAGCACCTTCTTGCAGACGTCGATAACCTGACGAACACATCAGAGTAATGAAGCTCTCTTGCAAACTATTCAACCAGTGATATCGACAGCAGATGCATGTGCGCCGGCAAGAAACAGCGTGGGGCAGCGATACAGCCCAAAGCACATCCTGCCTGCATGCCATCTGATGAGTAGATAAAGTTTTGCTTGTCGTCGCCTCGGCCATGCATCTGAAGGATAACAGTTGGTTTGCCGTCGCCTCTTGCCAACAGCAACCAAACAGCTCTGCGGACACGGATGACTGCAAGCCAAGCCTGCTTCACCATCCCCTTGCCCGGTTTCCCACACCTATCGTGGAAGCAACAGTTAGAAGCACAACCCAACGGGCGCATTTTCGGCACGTGGTGATCAGCCGCAAACTAGCAAAGTGTTTGAGTCTAGAACCTAGAGCCGGAGGTCTCTGCAAACACCCAACAACCTTAGATTCGAGGATATCTTGGGGCTTCATTGAGCATTCGTCTGCAAGTTGAGATTGCCAGACCAGAAGCCGGGCAAAGCAGGACTCCGGTCACCCTCCTTGCGGAGACCCGGTCTTACGCTGACAGGCACCACGCTCACGGCTCGGTGCGCGGGCGTAGCCGACATGCATCTGCATCAGCGCCAGATCCAGGTCTGCGCCGGCGTCGATCAAAAGCTGCGCTAGCGCAGGGTGGCGGCTTTTCCAAGCCAGGTACCTCAGCTATGCACACTGCTGCTTACAAAAGCCAGAACCCGCATGGGGCCAGCACAACTTTGATGAAGCTCTGCTGCATTGCATGAGCTGTTTAATACGGCAGGTATCCACACCCTCGCACGAAGGGCTCCTTGCAGCCTAAGGCTCAAAGGTGTGTAGCCAAAGCGGCCGGCCTTGTTGACCTCCGCTCTGGCTTTGATGAGCAGCCGTGCCTCCTTCAAGCACATGGGGGTCTGACAGACACAGACGAAGGTTCAGGTCTTGGGTGCTTGTGGGCACATCGCTACCTGGAAAATGCCCGGCTACGTGAACCTTCGGTTCTTGAATGTGCAGAGAGAGAGAGAGAGAGCGAGAAAGAGAGCATGTGTGTACGTATGTATGTATGT